AATATTTTACTTGAATGTTGAGTTCTGTAAGCGAATTCGATTTCATAGAATGACCCATTGAAGTTTAAAACCAGTTGTTATTTCAAACAAGGAAAAGCGCGAAGCTCATAATATGAACATTTGTTGTTTCGATCAGATTAAAAATTCGATAGATTGAGCCGTCTTAAACAAAATTGCATTGTCAAGGTTTGATCGCCGCGAGTCACTTGAATCTACCACAAACCCCACTCTCTGAATTGGGGCAGGATATTTTAACTGAGAAACACATCATTCATATTATGTTAAATACTATGATGCTATCATTACATATATTTCCAAGTAGGCTATTTATAGCCCCCCCCCCCCCTCAAATGTAGGCTACTATTTCAATTATATCTATTGTTGATCATTAATTCTTCTTTTCATGTAATCCGCGAAGCTCATGTTTCATTCGTTAAGGTTTCTCTCCCCTGAAATTTTGCGTAACTTAATTGATTTCTTTCTCATTAGAATATCAGTGTCTTTCATTATACTGTGATGGTTCTAATCGTATCCAAAAATTTGATCGAAAGAAATTTCTTCGACGGAAAATTGATCGAACGGAAATTTAGTCGAATCTTTTTTTCAGTTCTCACGCTAAAATTTTGCTTCAAATTTATTTTTGAACGCATTATTTTGTTTTACTGTTATAGTATAGTGCGTTCAAAAAGAAATTTGACATAACATTTTTTACGTGTGAACTGAAGTAACCGTTTCTAATTTTTGAATAGCTTATTTAAACAGATATGCTGAGTAAATCACTGGTAGGAGGAGGAACGAACTGGTGAATTACATATTATTTTCATAGTATTTAAACTTTCTTATTATGAATTAGGGCAGGAGAACGTACATCTTCATGGAATGCAATGAAAAAATTTGTCTTTGGGGTCCAATAGCAGATGCACATTTTTGTGTTACTGCATGACTATGACATTTCACAGTAAAAATCCTAAAAGTAAGAGAAAACCAAAAGGAAAGTTCCAGAAGTTCAAGGACTACATTGTATCATTTCAGCTTGTAGTTATATTGGTAGCCAGCTGAAGTCACTCTGATAAACTATCGTGTCAAACGTTCGTTACATGATACACATATTATATTTGTAGGCATCCTTTAAATAAACTTTGTTTTGTTGGTTTTTTTAAATCATATTTTTCAACCAAATAAAGAATTGTTGAAAATGACTATTTCCCCATTTTTAAGAATCAATTGTATTTTATGTAAACACATCGTATAATCAACAATTAAAAAAAAAATACGTGAAGAATTATATAATATAATGACAAAACAACATTAAACATATAATATTGCTGAAGTTTCTCCCCAGGCCATTCTTGCGCACTAGCACTAAATTGCACATTTTTTTGGAGCTGAAAGTCGATGCATCTGAACCTGATTGGTGAACCCACGGCTGAGGACTCCATTAGCAATGGCTGTACCGGTGTCATGGTTACCACATTACCTCCCCTAAATCTGCCATGTAAACAAGTAAAGAGATAACATTTGTCTGAGACATCATGAAGCTTTTATTTTGGGTGTTTTGGGTGTGTGTGTGTGTGGGGGGGGGGTGCAGTGTTTGTAAATACATTATACGAAATTTTATGACTATCTTCAAATAAAATAAAATAGTTTTACAGACTGCGTCAGATNAAAAAAGAAAAATTAAAAAAAAATCGTTGTAAGAAATAAGGGGATGGGGGTTTGGAAGGGGGGGGGGTGAGTTGAATTAGTTGAGGAGGAATGGGCAAAAAAAAAAAAAAAAAATTCACTTGAGAAGGGAGAAAGTGGGCGGAGTTAAATAGGGAAAAAACCTGGGTCTGAATTAATCAGTGTAAAAGGTGGTGGAATTAATCAGGGGATATGGTAGGTGGAGTAATACAGGGGAGGAGGTGGATGGAACTTAACAGGGGAGGAAGTGGGGGAATTGACGGAGTCGCATGATTCAATGACAAACTCCAATGCCTCATCAAAGAAGCCTCGCCCCCCCCCTCCCCTGTTTCCCTTAAAGTGATAAGCAGAATACACTTATTTGAGTCAGTAGGCCTCGTGAACCAATATTCAAACATAAAACTATAACTATGTTTTCAACTAATTTTTTTTTTTTCAAACTCGCTTTCCCTCTTCAAACAGTTTTCCCCACAAGGCATTGTAGCACTAGCATACCATTAATAGCATTTGTTACACCACCATACCATTGTTTATTACACTAACGTACCATTATTTGTTACATTAGAATACCATTATCAGATTTACACTAGCGCATTAACGAAGGCTCTAGCACCATACGCATTGTTATATGGATATATATATATATATATATATATATATATATATATAAATAAACGATTGCAATATGTATATATTAACAACTTCTCTTTCTATTTGCGATGCACGAGACGAATAAAAAAGTATACTGAAATCCCTAGCCAAATGACATTTGACATGATAAATAGGTAATCATTCATCTGGTGTAGGTTGCCCCAAAACGTGGACCAACAACCTCTCCTTTCATAAACCTGTTCACTGTCCACGGTCGACGCGTACACTAACGTTCCCATGGACGTGCCGGCCTGGAAGCTTTTGTCCGCAACGTGAACACCGGAAGTCGTTTGTTGGCTGTTGGCTTCATGAATGATACTCTTGGAGTCTGCCGGGGTGCCCCTGGCCTCACTTACCATCGGGCGCGCGTCATTGTTGTTAGTATCGGACTGCGATTTGGCGCGCACGTCGTGCTGGGTGTCCAGGCTTCCCTTCTTGGGAATGCTACAGAACAGGACGCTCCGGAGAGAGGAGGGCGACAGGTAGAAACACGCGTTCGACTGTTTCTGTAAAAAAATGTACATGGCCCTCAGCTGGCATATACTGACCATCACGCAGACCGAGCTGTGCAGCAGCAAGGCGAACAGGTACGACATGATGATGGGGAACGTGTCCGAGTTGTTGGGAAGCTGGTTGGACACGACGCTCATGAAGAGAGACAGGGACAGCAGCACGGTGATGGAGAACGTCGCCCGCTCACCGCTGTCGGAGGGCATGACGAAGACGAAAGAGGAGAGCAGCGACAGTAGCACCATGGGCACGATGACGTTGACGAGGAAGAAATGCGGCCGCCTCTGAAAGCTCATCCTGATGACGACGCTGGAGAACGTCTCGTCCCCGACCTGCTTTTCTTGCTCCTTAATGTCGGACGACAGGAGGACCCATTCGCCGTTCGGGATAAACGAATCGTTGAGCACGAATGGGATCGTGGGGATCAGGTGGATCTCGTCGGCGAAATCGTTGGTGAAGAAATCGACGTAGCACGACTGCTCGTCGAAGGGAAAGTACGTGATGTCCAGGAAGCAGGAAGCCGAGAACACGCCGCCGGGATACCAGCGGGTGATGCCGTTGTAATACAGGGTCATGGGCGAGTAGTCATCCTCGAAAACGTCCCTGGCGTTGACGGAATTGGAAACCAATGTCCTCGGCCGCCAGATGTCCAGCGGCTCGGGGTGGATCTTCTCGATGCCGGAGTAGTTCCTCGGGTCCCACACCCGGATCTCGTCGACCCACGTGAAGTTGACCCACGCGTTGAACTCCAGCTTTTCCTGGACCTCGACGATACCGAGCAGGTTCAGCAAGTAGAACCGGAAGTGGACGACGATGGGCAGCTTCTGGTTGAGGATCGGTCGAATGCGTCGATTGAACCTGGCGATGACGTCTTGGTGAAGCTTGGCGGTGTGGGAGTATCCGGCCCGCACGCCCGCCACGCAGACGTTGGTGAGCAGGACCAGGCCGGTGATGTTGCAGCACATGAGGACCATCTTCCGACAGTGAGTCATACACCCGTCTTCAAATTTAGCTTGTCACCTGGTGGGATTGGTGAATGCAATGGTTACAGTTACATGAAAGGGATGATACGTTTTAGATATGCGGTGATATAGGACCAGACCAGCAACACTATTTACTATTTCGAGGTATATTAGAATATATTATGTTTTACAAATATAACTTATAATCAATATAAGAATTAATGACATACGATTTTAGTATTATTTCAGAATCAAAGATATAGCACATACAATTTAGCAACATGTTTAAAAAAAAAATGATTTTGCTTTTATAATTTTTGTTACCATAAAATGAAATAAAAGTAAAATAAATGTAGCCTCCCAGCACATCAATGTACCCTCCGAGCACATAAAAAATTTACCACCCCACCCATCAACGTACCACCCCACCCCATCAGCGTATCATCCCACCCCTTCAATGTACCACCCCATCCCATCAACGTACCATCCCACCCCATCAATGTACCACACCACACCATCAGCGTATCATCCCACCCCTTCAATGTACCACCCCACCCATCAATGTACCATCCCTCATCAACATACCAGCCACCCCATCAATGTACCAGCCACCCCATCAATGTACCATCCCACCTCATCAACGTACCATCCCACCCCATCAGCGTACCATCCCACTCCATCAACGTACCATCCCAGCCCATCAACGTACCACCCCACCCCATCAAAGTACCATACCATCCATTAATGTACCATCCCATCCCATCAGCGTACCACCCCATCCCATCAGCGTACCACCCCACCCCATCAGTGTACCATCCTACCCCATCAATGTACCATCCCTCATCAACATGCCACCTACCCCATCAACGTACCACCCCACCACATCAACGTACCATCCCACCCCATCAATTTACCATACCACCCCATCAATGTACCACCCCACACCATCAGCGTATCATCCCACCCCTTCAATGTACCACCCACCCATCAATGTACCATCCCTCATCAACATACCAGCTACCCCATCAATGTACCATCCCACCCCATCAACGTACATCCCACACCATCAACGGACCATCCCACCCCATCAATGTACCACCCCAACCCATCAATGTACCATCCCACCCCATCAGCGTACCATCCCACCCCATCAATGTACCACCCCACCTCATCAATGTACCATCCCACCTCATCAATGTACCATCCCACCCCATCAGCGTACATCCCACTCCATCAACGTACCATCCCAGCCCATCAACGTACCACCCCACCCCATCAAAGTACCATCCCATCCATTCATTTACCATCCCATCCCATCAGCGTACCACCCCACCCCTTCAGCGTACCACCCCATCCCATCAGCGTACCATCCCACCCCATCAGTGTTCCCACCCCATCAAAGTACCATCCCCTCCATTCATTTACCATCCCATCCCATCAGCGTACCACCCCCCCCCTTCAGCGTACCACCCCATCCCATCAGCGTACCATCCCACCCCATCAGTGTACCACCCTACCCCATCAATGTACCATCCCTCATCAACATACCACCTACCCCATCAACGTACCACCCCACCACATCAACGTACCATCCCACCCCATCAATTTACCATCCCACCCCATCAACGTACCATCCCACCACATCAGTGTACCATCCCACCACATCAACATACCATCCCATCCCATCAATGTACCCCCCGAGCACATCAAAAATGTACCATCCCACCACATCAACGTACCACCCCACCACATTGGTCATCATCATAACTACGCCAATATTTAAAAAAAAATCTATGGGATTGGGTGGGAGAAGAAAACACCCTTGCTCTTTTGTGACATTAGTTTTATTTTTATAATGTGGAGCGGAAAATGAGTACCGGAAATGGCGCATTTCATTTTTTGCTAATATTATTGTGAAAAAAAAAGAAAAGAAAAGGAACCACCTTTACCCAACACTTTTTTTTTCTTTCTCATAGTTATGTGCGTTTAATTTTGTATAGCTACTTGATAATTACTACCGTTTTCAAATCCGTCAACGATCAAGTGACTTTTCCGCCATTTTGGAGTTCTATTTTTTAAATTATTAATATTTTGGTCGGTTGACATTAAAAGAGTTATCCTTTAAAATAAGCTTAAAAATAAGTTTGTCTAAATACGTAAATTACAAAACAATTACATGCAATTGATTTTGAAAGAAAGAAATGAAATTAAACAATCGGCTGATTAGGCATGTGATGCGAGTGAATGATAAAAATACTTCAATTATACATTTAACTTTAACTTGAATTTTGAAGCATTTTAAAAAATCTGTTGATCCATTCATATTTTTAAGGGATGGATGATGCGGATCAGTGTCGTCACTAGGGGGGGGGGTCGTGGTGCGGGCCGAACCGAATGACAACCCCAGAGGGTGGGGACACCAAATGGAAAATTGCAAATTTGACGGAACTCGCTCGAATCGGCTTCACAGTGTATCTAAGTTTTATACAAGGTCAGGGTGCTACAAGAACAGGGTGCCACAAGAATAGGGTGCTACAAGAGCAGGGTGCTAAAAGAGCATCTGGTCCGTTGGCTATGAGATCAGTGGCGTGGCAGGACACATGCTGCACAAACCAGTTAAGGCAGCAAGTTTTGCTTCTATGGACGGAGAAAACAAAAGTGGAGGGACAAACTTAATGATTAAGTTTAATTATAACTTTGACCAGATCAAGCCTTTCTTAAAATGGTCTACACGCTAGTGAATCACTTTGACCAAACAGTTATTTCTAAAAGTGTTCTACACGCTTGTGAATCACTTTGACCAGACCAGTTCTTTCTTAAAGTGGTCTACACGCTAGTGAAATTTCAATACGCTTGGAAATTCGAAGAAAAAAAATTAGCTGCGAAATTCGAACCCACCACACAAAAGTTACTTTTAATCCCTTTTGATTCACTGTGTTACGACACACCTTGGATCAACTGTCACGACACACCTTGGATCAACTGTCACCACTCTAGGGTGCATTGGAAGACAGCAAACTTCATTGACGCTCATACAAGGTTTGACATGGCTGAAAATATTTTCTTCTGCCACTTAGGGCACATGTAAAAAATTATAATGTTATCACCTTAACAACGTATTGAATAAATCAGACGAGGGACGACCTTGTTATGCGAAGCCATTTATGAACTCTTGCCGGTTATAAATTGTTACAGTTTACACATAGAGGTGGGGGAGGGGAGGGGGCATGTGTTTCTTGTATCAAATTTCCTCCCAGTTCTACCCATCCACCAGCATTCACAAACATGGCTGTACTAGTAAAATAATAGGCAACTTAGGCTTTTGCCTAAGGCACAAGGAACAGTGCATCTTAACACGTTCTAAAGGGTGGCAGATAAATGGGCCTATCGAGTTCTGAAAGCTTGTCTGCAATGTGTAGTGTGCAGTCGTCTGTAATTGGCCGGGCTGGGCTCAACAAGGCGGTGAGAGCTGTTCAAGGGCCATTCAAATCTGCCATATAAGGGGAGTTTTTTTTTTGTGGTCCACAAACATGTTAATTTTAGTTAGGTATATTTTGAAAGTTAGGAATGTAGCGCTACGCTTATGTTTGGGTGTACAATTGAAATACAAAATACAGTTTCATCAGCTTTTAAAAATTTCATTTTTTTAATTATTTTTTTATTTTTCATGTCTTTATTTGTATTCTATCATGACAGACCAGGGCTGGACAAAGTGAGGCCCACCGGTTGCACAAAGGGCCCACCGAGACGCTTAATGTGGCCCGCAGCACATTCTGGGGAACTGGAGTATAATGTTAACAATAACAATTACTTCAATGTATTTTCTAGAACTCTGGTTTCCTTGAAAATTTATCAAGCCAAAAAAAAAAATAATTAAATATATAAATAAATAAAATTCCATGTGGCCTTCGGCGCAAAAAGTGTTTCCATGCCTGTTACAGACGGGCTTAAGTGACATGGCGTAAATAATACCGACATGGGATCGACATATTTTATAATGAAACTATAGCTGCCTTTTAGAGAGACAACATCTCCATCTATTACAATAACACACCATCGCCATCTTTTAGATATACATCATGGCTATCTTTTAGACACATTATATCAGTCTTTTAGACAGACATAATTTCCATCTTTTAGATAGACGTCATCATTATCTTTTAGATATACCCTAACCATCTTTTACATAGATAACATCGCTAATTTAGTTAGACATCGTAGTAATTTTTTTACAGCGACATCGGCCCCCTTCTTTGACTTAAACATCATCTCCACACTCTTATATAGACATCAACGGAAACGTTTCGATAATGTTTAGTAATTCGTTCAAAATACTTCAGAATTCGCCTTTGTCGTTCAAGACCTTGCGTTCCTTTCATGGGTCAGTGACATTTCCCACAGTTTGAACGTTTTCAGATTCGTCCCGAAACCCAATAATTACCCACTTGCGCGCTGTTATCATTCAGTGCTTAATCGCAGGTCACAATACTAAATAGGCCTAATCTGTTAAATTCCATACATAGCACACTTTTGGGCCGATTAGGCTTTGTTGATTGTACTGCCGTCACTACCTCCATTGAGAGACACGTTTTTCAGCTGCCAATCAGTGGAAGGGTACCTCTTATATGATAAAGCCAGCCATCCATGCATTCCACGCCATTTGTATGCGCCTAATTCACAACGCAATGCGGCGGTTTCAAAACTTAATGGAATTGCGCCCCATTTAAACAATTCTTTGCGCCCCCCCCCCATTTCATTAAATAATATAATCGTAAAATTTTATAGAAGTAAATAAAAAGATCATTATTTTATAACAATTTTTGTCAGGCAGCTCTTTCACGCCAGTATTATGCTATAAAGTAAACTCTTTAACAATATTTAGAAATGTAGTAAATAATTTGTTTACCTAATTCCTCACTAGTAATCCCTTAATTTATAAATTAGGGAATTAACTACAACGAAAGTAAGAACGTATGAAAAATAGTTAACTATAAAGTTTAATT